CGACGCTCTTCCGATCTCCCCAAAACCCCAAAACCCCTGGAGAAAAACATCATTCAAAATTTGAAATTATGAAAAATGAAATGATCTATAATAATAACAATAAATCTAATATTCCTAATAATTATTAATATGAGTGTTAAGGTTGCTGTAAGAGTCAGACCCTATAACTAGCGTGAGGAAGAAAGAGGTTCTTAGTGCTGTATTGATATGGTAAAATAACTTAAGTGATAATCTAATTTCTATAGGATGGGCCAACTACTATAATTAACGATGCTGTTGAGGGCTAAAAAACATTTACTTTTGATTACAGTTTTTGGTCACATGATGGATTCGTAATGAATGCTGAAGGTTATGCTGTACCGAAGAAGGGAGAGAGATATGCTGACTAGATGAAAGTGTATAATGCACTAGGTAAACAAGTCCTTGATAATGCTTGGGAGGGCTATCATTGTTGCTTGTTTGCTTATGGCCAAACAGGTAGTGGTAAATCATACTCTATGGTAAGATCTGATGTCATCAACTAATTAATTCGGTTAGATTGGTTATGGAGCTAACAAAGGTATTGTTCCTATAGCTTGCAATGAAATCTTTACTAGAGTCAATAAACTAAAGAGTCCAAATATGAGTTTTGAAGTTAGTTTTTCAATTGTAGAAATTTACAATGAAAAAGTATAAGACTTGATGGTCTTACCACAATTTAGACCTACGGGTGGGTTAAAAGTTAGAGAACACAAGTAAGTAATAAATTAAAGTATTCAGTATAATAATCTGTTAATTAGGACTCTTGGAGTGTACGTTTAAGATCTTAGTAAGCATCCAGTCGACTCTTATGAAGCTATTGAGGCAAAGATGGATGAAGGCTATAGAAATAGATCTATAGGTTCAACTCTCATGAATGCTACATCTAGTAGAGCCCATACAATTATTACAATCGAATTCAAATAGATTGGGATCCAAGATGGCAGAAAGAATGAGAAATTTTCAGTCATTAATTTGGTTGATTTGGCTGGTTCTGAAAAAGCTGGCCAAACTGGAGCTACCGGTGATAGATTAAAGGAAGGTTGTGCTATTAACAAAAGTTTGACTGTACTCGGTTAGTGTATCAGTATCTTGGCGGATAAAGCACTTGGTAAAGAAAAGAAGACAGTAGTACCCTACAGAGACTCAGCTTTAACTAGAATCCTTTAAAATGCCTTAGGAGGAAACTCTAAAACTATTATGATATGTGCCTTATCACCTGCATCCATTAATTATGAAGAAACTTTGAGTACTTTGAGATATGCTGATAGAGCTAAAAAGATTCAAAACAAGGCAATGGTAAATGAAAGTCCCCAGGAGAGATTGATCAGGGAACTTAGAGAAGAGAATGAAAAGCTTAAGTAGATATTGCTAAAAGCTGCAAGTGGAGGTGGCACTATTAATTTAAGAGATCTTGGACTCGGTGACTTAAACGAACTTGTTGAGACAATGGAGCAAAACACTAAAGCTGTTGAGGAGATGGAAAAGCCATGGGAACAAAAACTCCTTGAGGAAAGAGAGAGAACTAAATAATAGCATGAAAATTATGAGCACATCATGGCAAAAGAGGATAGAACTGTGCCTCATCTAACTAATCTTAATGAAGATCCTTAACTTACAGGAAAGGTCTACTACAGTTTGATTGACTGTAAGTCTCATTAAATATCATAATTTGTATAGGTCCTGTTTATGTGGGTAGAAAAACTGGAAACCCAACACCTTAGATTATTCTAGGAGGAGTTGGAATCAGGCCAAACCATGCTTATTTCTAAGAAAAAGATGATGGCTTTATCTATCTTAAAGCAGCTGAGGAAGAAGCACTTGAATACATCTAGATTAATGGTGAAAAGATGATTGAAGATCCAAACACTGGTATCACTGAGTAAAGGCTGTTCCATATGGATAGAATTCTATTCGGCTCAAACACTATCTTAGTCTTCAAATACCCTCAAATGAGCAGAAAGCTTAAGCAAATTAGAGCGCAGGTCTTAAGAGAGAATTAATCACTGACTGAAGAGCAGATTGAGTAGTTCGCAAAGAGAGTGCTTACTGAAGATGGAGTGTTCAAATTCAACTCTTCTAAGTACACTAACGAGGAAGAGGAAACTATTGCAAGATAAAAACTAATGAGAGTAGATGACTACACTGAAGAAGAAATTTAGGAAGACATTAATATGGTTGACTGGGACTATGCATACAGTGAAATATTGAAGATTGAGGAGAGAAAAATCAGCAAGTTCACGAAAGAGGCTGACAAGAGAGTGCAATAGGAAAAGCAGAGACTTGAAGAGGAGCTAAGAATCAGATTCGAAGAGGAGTAGCAGAAAAACATGTAAAGTCTTCAGTAAAAGATGGAGGAATAGCAAAAGAAGTCTGAAGAGCTTAAAAGATAAATGGAGGAACTTGAGAACAGCAAGTCAGCAGGGTATGTAACAAGTAATGATGGCGCCTATGTGAGTGAGGAGGCAAATCGTGAAAAAGAGTAAATGCAGTAGCAAATATAATTAATGCAAGAAAACAACAAACAGCTCATGGAGGAATACATGAAGTCACAATAAGAAGCTCTTTTACTTCATCAGGAAAAGATCTAAATGGAGGAGAAAGCCAAAAAGGAGAGAATAGAATTAGAGAAAAAGGCAAGAATAGACTAACAAAAGAATGAGATCAAGTAATAGTTCAAGCAGAAAATCAAGGAGATTGAAAGAAAGATTGTAGAAGCTAATGAGTGCGCAAAGATCATGAAGAAAAACATTTCATTCAGCTACCAGTTAGTCAGTCAAATCTCAGATAGCATTGCTTCGTTTGAAGATGATACCAAGACAAAGAAAGATGAGATTCAAATACAAGTGCTTAACTTTGACAACGACTCAGTTCTGATATGGAGCACTAAAAAGTTCTTTGACAAGTTGGAGATGATGAAAGACATGATCAACTCATATTAAGATGGTGGAAGCACCTAGGATATGGACCCAGAGGAAGATCCATTTATGGATCCAATTGAGCCTTTGCTACTTGGGCAAGTTTATTTCAAATTAGAACCCCTTGCATACTTGATTGATAATCCCTCAGAAATTTCAATTATAGGGTAAAATCTACAAGTGATGGGGAAACTAGAGGTCAATATCATTCCTGTTGACTAAGATGGGGAATCAGAGGTGCCTGAGGAGCTTATTCCTGAGGAGCCAGAAGAGTTGATAGGCTAGAGAATTGATTTCCTAGTTGAGATCAAGCAAGCCACTAAACTTCCTAAGAATTTCTGTAGAGATGTGTTCTGTGAGTACAAGTTCTACTTAGGAGAGGAGAAATACTCAACCACAAAGATTCTTGGCAGAGATCAAAATCCTCAGTTTGAGTACAGATATCACCACACTATCGAGTACTGCAGCAAGAACTTCATTGAGCATTTAATGAAGGACTCAGTAAGATTTCATTTAGATTTATTTATACTTTTAGCTATGTATTAAATTGTACGGATTTCCTGATCTTGATCCTAAGGATGCAAAAGCCATAGATCAAAAGGCATCTGAGAGAAAGCCAAAGAAGTCAAACGTAAACATCAGCTAAAACAGATCAGGTTACTCAACTTAGGAAAACACCTTCAATGACGACAGTTATTCCTCTGATTAGTCAAGACAGAAACAGGAATTGCAAAGAAGATAATATGAGCAGCAATAACTTCAAAGCCAACAGCAGCAATAGTAGAGACAAAAGTATTAGTAAGAGGATCTCAGAAGATACCAAGAGCAAATGCTGGAAGGTAAAATGAGGAAAACAGGCTAGAAAGGTGGTGAAAAGGATAAAGATTGTACTATCTTTTGAATTCTCTTCAAAATAACTCTTATGTTATTTTTAAATCAAAATATTAACCTTTTATTATTATCACACTCACTCTTTAGTGTACTATTTATTTATGTGGGGTTTTGGGGTTTTGGGGTTTTGGGG